TTAAGGAAATGTGGAAGCAGGCATTGGAATTTGGAAATGCTTTTTTTTTCTTCTTTTTTTTGCTTTTCGGTTTCCTGGCAGCGGAAGGGTGGCTATCCCAATTTCAAGGCTAGAGTGCAGCCTTGAGGGAAGTTTACCTTTKGGTCACATCTGGTGGCATGGGGATGATGAAGAGAAGAAAAGGTCAATGTGATGGTTTGGTTTCCCTTCTTCTCCCCTCCCTTCTCCTGCTCGGCCTTCCTCCTGGTCTCACTTCTTTCTGTCATAAGGTGGCCATCTATCTCCCTGTAGGTCAAGTCCCCTGTCTGAGAAATGGCAAGATCTACTCTATGGTAGTGCATGTGCTGGCCAGGATGTTAGGAGTATAGTACTGGATAGAACTGTGTGCTGGCCAGGCTGTCCGGAGCATGGTARGGCATAAAATTGGAGTCCTATCCATGTGAACACCCAGGAGGTCTGCATCTATCATCATCACTGTGTAGCTCATCTTGCATGTCCGTTTGTTATGTTTACGCGTACTTCCCTCTTTGTTTTTGGAATGCATCTAGGATCCGTACATGGAGAAGTTGGCGGCAGCAAACAACTGCTGTGTGGTAAGTGTTGTTTTCTGTGTGCAACTTACAACTTCGCACATTCTGCCCACAAAAGGAATTGTGAGGTTCTGTAGTCCACAAGGAGTTTGCGTCCTCTATCCTCTCCATCCTCTATATGTTTTCTATCCTMTGTATCTGTGCTCTCTATCCTCTCCCTCCTCTGTACCTATCCTCTCAAATCCTCTGTATCTACCCTCCCTATCCTCTTTGTTTATGGTCATTGAAGAAATGCCACCATGAGTCCTTGAGATTGAAACAGATGTTGAACAAGGAAGACCAAAAATGGAAATTCTTGGAAAAAGGAATTTTGAAGCAGACAGAACCCCTSCTGAAGTGCCCGCATCGTATGAAGAATGAAGAAACCCTCCAGGAGAGGTCTTTGGAAGTTGTTCATACAGTTCGACACTTAGAGAGTGTTGGTTAATCTGCTTGGATATCCCCGGCCGATGGTACAGAAAGCGGGAATAGCATATGCCCGAGAGTGTAGTATCGTAAAAGCGAAACAGGCAGTATACTATTCTCTAGAGAAAGGGTAGGGGCTTAGCCCCGGTAGGGGACTAACGGTGGGACCACGGGACTACCCGAAAGGCTGAAACAGAATATAGTGACGGAACCTGCAATATGATGCATGAATATTGATGTATACTGTGAAGTACTGGCGGGACAGAAGGGCAAGGCTGGTACAACGCGAATCRAGAAGGTAGAAATACMCGTTAAGTGTGAGCTTCTCGCAAAGAACGGGAAGTGCGATGGGTAATGGAAAGCAGAGAGGTGAAAACCTTTGCTGGTTGCCAGGCCGCCCGGTCGCCTGGCCGTCGCCCGGTGGGGGTCCCGGTCGGCCCGGTCGGTTTGGTCTTGTGGTCGACCACCGGGCGGGCCCAGCGCATTTGTGAGCGGGGGGTCGGGAGGACCTGGGCGGGTCCAGTTGGCCTCCCGACGCCCGCCGCATGTCTCCAAACTGAACAGGCAGGTTAAAAAAATAAATTTGAGGGGCGACAGGGCCCCTTTCGCGCCTGATGTTACCAGCTGTCTGTTATGAACTTGGTTGTTTGACAGTTTCGTTGCCACTCACACACAGAAACACTCACACACGCCCATACATGCATGAGAGAAAGGGGAGGAAGAGACACAGTCCACCTGCACACAGACCAGAGATAAACAGCGGAAGAACAACCATGCACAGATGGGGAGAATACACACAGTGTTCTCTCTCTATGATGAACTCCCAACAACCAATCACAATTGACACTGCGAAGATCACAATTGGAAAGTAACCCAGATGATGAGCCAACTCAACACTGTTAACCCCAATTATTGTTCCAGAGTTCCACCCAGTATCTCGCCACTCAAGTACCACACACTCCACTCACTACTACACTCTCAGAGTCTAGCGCTGCATAGAAACAGCCTCCCAGAGGCCAGCGCCA